CTCCTCTCCTGGTCCTCTCCCTTTCCTCTCCCGGTGAAGAGAACTCCTCTCCTAGTGAAGAGAACTCCTCTTCCGGTGAAGAGAGCTCCTCTCCCGGTGAAGAGAACTCCTCTCCAACACTCATCCAGTGCAGCAGCACATGTTTCAAAGCAGAGCCCCCCTGCCGGCTGCTCTGGGTCGTCATGCTAGTTTATGGTGTTTGTGTTTCTGTTCCACTGGTCATTTATTAACAGGGAGCACAGTCCATCCAGCTGCTGCCTCTCAGATCCACTGAGACACTCAGAGCATTGTTACACAATTCACTATCAGGCCAACAGTTTTGTTTATGTCATTAATCCAAAGGATAAAAAAGTCCTCCCTCTCCTGTCTCTCTCCTTCTCTCGCCCTGTTTGTGGAGCTGTTGTCCATCTGAGCGTCCGGCGTGTTTTTGACAGTGTTTGTTACTTTGGTTTGAGCTCAGCTGATGAAGTGGATGAGTGAAGAGAGAAGTGCTCCTACACTGGATTACTACTCAGTGTGTTTAGCCAACAAGCTTAAACAGGATATTGCTTTAATATCTGGGCCAAGTGTAAGTTTCATATGCAAACACAATCAACTGAGTACAGCAAAGTCTGTTGTGCATTAAATGTCTAACCTTAAACCCAGTTGGAAATGTGAAAGTGTGTGTTGCTCACAAAACAGCTGATTTGAGATATTTCATGTTCATTGTTGATTTTCTGTTTTTTAAACTTGTGTTGTCATTTGTGGGGCAGCAACTAAAAATCATTTTAATTATTATTAATCAATAATACGTTTTATAGAAAAACCATCTCAGGTTCCTCGAGTCCATGGAGCTGTTTATCAAATGCAAAACCTAAAGTTATTCAAATAACTTTTGCTGACCAAGAGATCCAGAAAATATTGACTTCTGTGAACCAGATTATTCTCACGTTTCTGCTTCAAACATCACTTAGAATGATCAATCTGTTCTGATTCATTTTCTCTCTGTTGACTAATTGGTTAATCAGTTTTTAATTCAGCCTTACTCTGAGTGCAGAGGCTCCTTCATTGCAAAGCTTCCAGACCTATAATCAAACTCAGCTGATCACAGTGAACTGTTGGTGAGAGGCCGTCCTCGTATAAAGATGAACTCAGCTCCCTCTGCACTACCACAGTGTATATACAGTAGAGTCGTCTTGCATAACCTGCTGTATATAGTCCAGCAGTATATATACACATGTCTGTGTAGGCTCTTTATCCTTTCCTCTACAAGAGGCTACAACACCAAACTGCTTCATGTGGGGAACCAGCAGCGCTTCCTCATCACAGCAGCACAGAGCTGTGAAGCCTGAGGTCTCTTTGACAAGGATTTCAACATTTTTTAAGTTGTGTTAAGCCAGCGAGCTCATTAAAGAGGCATCGAACCAGGAATTACAGCTATGACTCAAACTGCTGGAATGATCTAACCGGTCCTCTGATTTCACTCACTGAGGCTTTTTTTCTTATTCCTGAACTCACTCTGAGAGCATTGCCAGTGTAAGTGATCCAGCCAGAAACACCAGGCAGCCCCTCTCCATCCCAGACGTCCTGTTTCTGTCCCGGTTGCGAGCACCAGCAACTAGACATGTCTAAAATATTGCCTCATTGTGTTTCTTGAGAAGCTGCCTCTCAAAAGAGAAGGACTGGACGGGCAGTGATTCATGGGCAAATGCAAGAGTAGCCGAGTTTGAGTTTGAGCGATGAGGAGACTTGAAGAGAAACAAAAAATGTTACCAATAAGCAACAGAGTTCACAGGAAGCTTGTTGTTTAACTCAAGAATTAGACAGAAGTTAAAAGAAGGAGAGGACAAAGGCTCGTGTATCTGGCATGAAGTCGACAGTGAAGAGGAAGACAACGAGGCTCTTTGTAGCACGAGAAAAACAATGGTCGTCTTTTTAGTCCTCATCAGTCTGTGACCCCCCCCCCACACTCTCCATCTCTGGGACTAATAACACGATGCCAGATGCCCAGCTGTTTATGAAACTGCACAGTAATTATAGAGTGTATTCAAACTGTTCCTGTCAGAGGGACTGATTATTGTTCCAGACAGCTGGTGAATATTGAATATCCTCTAATGTATCTCTGCTTTTGTTTTTATCTCTTTATGTCTTCATCTATCCTTCCACTCCCTCTCTCCTCCTCTGTCTGTTTGCTTCTGTGGAGGCTGGTGTTCAGCTAGTGTAAATGAGGCCGAGGTGGACGGCTCTGGAGATGGTAAGTTTTGTTTTTCTTTAGTAATAGAGCTATGGTTCTGTAAAACATATATTTATTTAAAGTCTATCTTATTCTCTGCAGTCTTCTCCTTCCCCGCCCTGCATAACGAGGACAATCTCCTTGGCGTCAGTAAGCCCCTTCCCAAGCAGCTGTGGGAGGCCAAGAAGGTGAGACGCTGCTCATTTGTAGTTCTTCCTTCTTACCCCCTGTGATGCTTCAAACATGCAGTAACTCAATATGGAAGCAGCACGTTTAAACTTTAAAGCCCCAAAATAACGACTGTAAACATTAAGCTGTTTATCGTGACCCCCTAAACTCCTGCTGTGCCTCAGTGGAGACATGTCAGACAACATGTCCCGCCAGTCTGTCCTGTGTGGTGGCACAAATGTGTTGGATGAGTCCCAGATGGATTTCAAGGATCAGGAATGTCAACAATCATGATGGAAGAAGTCATAGACATGAGTCAAACTCAATGAGAAAAGGAATAAATAAAAAGAAAAGAAAGATTCTTCTGTCTTCCTCGTCCAATGATGAGGACAATCCACCTTCTCATGCATGGAAATGAACCAAACTTTGCACACAGGTCCAGTCCTCTGCCAACAGTCCTCAACAGGACTGATCAATGATGGATTGATTGACACCAAACTTGTTGCACTGCATCTTCAGACCGTCCACAAACAATCCTGCCACATTTTTGATTTATCAAAAGTTGAGCCCACAGTGCATCAAAATATTTTACTGTAAACAGATACTGGAAATTCTTTCAAAATAAGTTCCAATGTTCACGGACATATTTTCATGTCTTGGTAGATGCGATGTGGCAAATTTCTGAATTTTGTTTCAAAAACAGAATTTTAGAAAATGGTTTGAAATGTATTATCATTTCACCTATTGCAGTCAGTGGATCCGTTTCTCACTCATAGAGCACAAATTCCCAGAGGAACCACTCGACCTGAATGAGGAAATAGTTGAGGTTGTGTTTTTCTTGTGTTTCAGTATCTGTGTTAATGTTGATAACAGGTAAGAACGTATCGATGGGATTCACAGGCCCAGTGTCAGATACTGAGCTCATGGATCTGGTATCAGCCACGATTGGACCAATCCACTGTGACTGAGCACAGAACACAACAGAATGATACAAGCTTTTGTTATTTTTGTTATTTCTATCTTTCATAAGTGAAATGTTTCTGTTTCAGGTCCAGTCTCTGACATCAAGACCCAAATCCTGTGAAGTGCCTGGAATCAAGTAAGATAAAGTTACACAACATGTTAACACCACTACAGCTGATATCAGATTCTGACACTCACAACAGGACATGGGTATTTTCCACAGGCAGCAACGCTTCCACAAACAATGAATGAGATGCCACAAATTCCCACCTTGTCAAACAGGATGTGTGTGTTGCTCTTTACACCTTGAATCCTTTGTATAGTAAGAGGAACACGGTTGTTATTACAATCAGATTCCTTTGTGAAGACTATTGTCTTCCCACTGCGAACAACCTCTGATGTCATGATTTAGAGACAAACACTAGACTCAACAATTCTGGAATTGTTGAGTCTAGTGTTTGTCTGATTTGAACTGTAACTAGTGAGTTATAGTTCAAATCATTATTATCACACAGAAAACAAGACAGATGTTTGAGGAAAGATTTAAGATTCATAGCAACAAGCCGACTCCTCTTGAAATAAAGAATTGAGCAGCGATCAATGAGACACAGAAAACTGTTTCCTTCCCTGAGTGCAACATATCAGGAGAAATGGAAATTGGAGAAATAATTGAGGAAATGAAGAGTGGATGGATAAAAAATGCGGAGGCTGTAAAGAGCAGCTAAAAAATTTATTTTTAGTTGCTGCCCCACAAATGACAACACAAGTTTAAAAAACAGAAAATCAACAATGAACATGAAATATCTCAAATCAGCTGTTTTGTGAGCAACACACGTTCACATTTCCAACTGGGTTTAAGGTTAGAGATTTAGTCCCCCCCTCCCCCCTCCATGTAAATATACAGTATTTAAATATAAAGATCAGTTCTATGGTCAAGAAAACTACAGTTCATACAAGATGAAACACACCAGTGAAAACACCACGAGGATTCTTTTTATTCAATTTCTGCCAAAAACCCCTTTCACCTGAATCTCACACACTGGAGCTTTAAGTAACATTCCCTTTAAATGTGGATTGTGAGCATCGTGTTCTGCCTGATGAAACAAACCAGGTTTCTTCCTGTCTTCCTTCTTTACAGTATATTTCCGTCTCCGGAGCAGAACCCGGGTCTTTCCCACTACCAGGGCTCGTTAAACACCGGTGGCTCGCTGCCCGACCTCAGCAACCTGCACTTCCCCTCACCTCTGTCCACGCCGCTGGACCCTGAGGACAATGGAGGGTATCCCAACCTCAGCGGAGGCAGCAGCACCGGAAACCTGCCCGCAGCCATGATGCATTTAGGCATCGGGAACTCACAGGGTGGGTGGAGTTCCTTTCTACTTATAGAAACACACACGTGGTTGTGGATAAATCTCAGGCTAACATGTTTAACTTTCTAAGAAATTTAAATTTAAATGCATGAACCACATTTAGTTTCCATGTTTGTCTGT